TGTTTTCAGATGGGCCCTGCAGGGATCGGTTCTTGGCTGTACACTATTTTTAACATTGTCAATGACCTGGAAGAAAACAAAATCACTGATAAAGTTTGCAGAGGACACAAAAATTGGGGAAGTGGTAAATAATGAAAAGGACAGATCACAGATACAGATCAATCTGAGTCACTTGGTAAACTGGACACAAGCAAGTGTGTGTTTTAATACAATTAGAAACAAAGAATGCAGGCCATACTCATAAGACTTTTTCCAAGGAAGCAGTGACTCCGAAAAAGAACAAACAAACAAAGATGGGGAAGGTGGTGGAATCATTTGAACATGAGCGCCCAGTGCGATGCAGTGGCCAAAAGGGCTAATGCAATCCTTGAATGCATAAACAAGGGAATCTTAAACAGCAGTAGAAAGGTTACTTTACCTCTGTATTCAGCACTGTGACAGGTGCTGAGTAAGGAGGACTTAATCAGCCCCCTGCCACTCCACCCCCAAATCAAGGGGAATGGATTGGGGCTGGTTGAAGAGCCCTGTGCTTGCCTGGCAACAAGAAACAGCTGCCAGCCTAATTAGCCAGGGGCTATAAAGGCTGGCAGGAAGGAAACCAGAGGAGGGAAAAGTAGGGAAGAGAAAGGCCAGGTACAGAGAGAGGTGGGGCCCTCTAGTCTGCTGTTGGCAAAATTTGGCTGTGAAAACCTATACATAGATAGTAAGGTGGTGGTGGGAAACAGCTGTAAATAAAGAGCACTGGTGTTTGCATCAACCTGAGAAGTCCCTGACTGATTTGCAAGGGAAGCAGGGGCAGAAACCAGAGGGGCCCAGCTTACACCTTGCTACAAGCACCAGCACAACTGCTGCAGGAATACTGTGGCCCATTCTAGTTCTCATACTTCAAAAGATGTTGATACATTGGAGAGAGTTCAGAGAAGAGACAAGAATAACTAAAGGGTTAAAAGACATGCCTTACTGTGATAAATAGATTGAGCTCCTTGAATCCTTCATTACATGGGGAAACAAATATTTGATAATGGGCTCTTCAATCTAGCAGAGAAAGGTATAACATAATCCAATGGCAGGAAGGTGAAGCTAGACAAATTCAGACTGGAAATAATGCATATTTTTAATATTTTAATTAACCACTAGAACAATTTACTAACAGTCGTGGTAGATTCTCCATCACTGGAACTTTTTATATCAAGATTGGATGTTTTTCTAAAAGATGCTCTACAAACTATTTTGGGGAAATTGTGGCCTTTGTTATACAAAGGAGGACAGACTAGATGATCACAAAGGTGCCTTCTGGCCTTGGAATCTAACTCAACTACAGCTGTTCCAATTTAAACATCCTGCAAAGATTGCATCATTTCACCTGAAGTCTACCAAATCTTTGCTGTACAGGCCCTCAGGGCGTGGAACTCATTCCCACATGGAGCTTGCTATTACTCTCAAACTTTGAGCACATCTGAAAACAACCTTTCAAAAAGGGCCAGGGGATTATTTAGTTAGGTTTATGGTAAAAAAAACGACCATCTTATTTTGCACCTATCACCACAACTATTTTCAATTACTTCTGCACGGCATTTGTAGGGGAAATCTGAAGGGGTTACTTTATCATTATGATTATGTGTATTTCCTTCATGAACAAAGAAACAAGACTGAATCTACACCCAAGATCATCCTAATTTTTTAATATAGTAGTTAGAAGATCATATTTATATATAGCATTTTAAGTCTACACACCACTTTCAGAACTAGGCGCATTTCTTCCCCTGAAAGGCTTATGGTCTAAGGTAGATCAGACACAGGACAACAGTTCTTCCAATGAATGGAGACAGAAGGAAGGATTCCTATTAGATTTTGAAGGACTGTGGGAGGGAGGGAGAGAGAGAGAAAAAATATGACTGTGCTTGGTGGACAGGAAGAGGAGACTTCTAAGTACAACGAACAGCAGGAATAAAGACAACAAACAGAGTGCAGGAGAAGAGATACAAGGAGCATCAAGTAAGAGGTGCTGGAGTGGGAGGAAATGAGAACAACCTTAGAGGCTTGGAGGCTAGATTATGTAAGGGTTTTGGAGAAAGGTGCTCAAATTTTTATGCTTAAAATGCAGTGGTGAAACAGTCCTGGCTTTTGTACAGTTATAGATCCTTGTGTATTTACAGCAAACAAGTGGTTTAATTTGCAGGGATAGTGCAACAGTGTTAGCCCTATGTAAGAGTGCAGAGACACTACTAGCAGAAAATAGACCTTCACCATAAAAAGTTTCAAGAAATTAAAGCACACATTTCTCAGGGTTTCTTCCTTCCAAAAAGACTGCTACACCACATATGTATGTGAATATTATATACTAAAAAACAGTCATTCAAAAATTAGAAATAGATCAATTGTGGACAAAGTTAACTGAACCACTAGTAGTGAAAATGCAAATTGGCTTCAGTTTCTGAAATATTCTTATTTTAGACAATTTAAGCAGGTGCTTAGCTTTCAGTTTGGCAGACTATTCTAGACTAGTATGAGAAACTGGGGCGACCTTTGACTAAAACCAAGATTGCCCCTTTGGATATTTTTCTTACATGGCTCAGATTCATCAGTATTAGGCAAATCAAAAACTACCCAAAATGAAGCTTTTTGCAAATAATTTCCCCCAAATCCTATAGCCTATTAGAGGAATGAAATAAATTGTATTTTAATGAGTTAGCATTAATTTACCAAAAAAAGCTTACTGTAAATTAATGCTAATTCCATAATCTGTTTTAGACTTCTGCCAATCGTTAGCACAGAAAGATCTTACATGACTGATTAATCAAGACTCATTTGTAATAAGCCTAACTGCGTATTTTAGATGAAGTTAAAATTAATAAAATACACCGATGTCACAATCTATTGATATTTTGTGAATATAATATGCTTAAAAGCCAGAAAGGCATGTAATAATTGAGAGTTCAACATGGAGCAGATTTCTTGGCTCCAATCCTGCATGAAGCCCTGTGTAGATACTGCCTGGCACTTGCTGCAGGATCAAGGCCCATGATCTCATTTCAAATCCAAGTCTTGTATAGTTTTTAACTAACATTTTTCAAAATTACTTCACGTGAAAGAGAACCAATAAAATCAATATAAAAAGAGCACTGACTCACATAATACAAAAATATATTAGTCAAGGTCTTATCACAGCGAATCTTCAATTTATCTGGGGGATAAATAAAAGGACTAGCTTAAGATGTTGACATTTTAGTTAATGAAGGTTTGCTGAAAAAAATTCACTTCGTACACTAGAAATTTAACGATGAACCTCAAAAAAAAAATTAACTGTTTACTTTCATTAAAGGTTCATACACTACATACCTTTTAAATGGGCTAAGATCACATAACTGCAACTCTCCTACCCTACCCATATAAAATTCATATTATGATTCTCATGAACTAAAACTACCCATCTGACCAATGATCTGATCATCCCAGGAAAGACCAGTTTCAGAAGACTCTAAGACTTATGGTCTTAGAAAGGAAGAGGCGGTGTCAATTTTATTTACATCTGGCTATCCTACTTCTACTACTATACCTAAAGTTACCCAATTGTTCTTTTATTTCCCACCGGTCTTAGAGGTTACTCTGGGCTCAGACACTCTCTGGGAACGAATACTACCTTTCTGAAACCAAGGAAATATGCCTATTTCGTATTTGATCTGCCAAAATTAATTTTGCTTACCACAATACAATAAAGGTAAGAATCAGTCCAGCGGAAAGACATCCAACAGTTAAAAGTTCATCCCACAGCACTTTACCAGAACTTCCCTATGTCCTCATCTAAAATTCACCAATAACTGGTAACCACAGATTTCCAGGGTCCCACTCCTTTCAACTTGTTCCTTTGAAAGATTTGGTAGTTCTTATGCTAACATTAACACATCATTTCTCATCTTATCTTTCATGATCATCCTTTTACACTGTCTCCCTCACCAGGCTATCACTAGGATAGCTCTATTTTGAAGAGGAAAGCAGGTTACATGAACCTCTCCAAGGCTGGTGCCAATGAGGTTATGGAAGATGTGTTAAAGGGTGTGGATGATGCTGACCTATGACACCACAATGCCAGATTTCTTTCTATGGCCCAAGGTGATTGTACTTGATATTGCTCCCATGGACACCAAACAATGGGATTCTATATTTAACTGCAGCACATGCTTAAATCTACATAGTTATGAAAATGTTAACCCATGTACAAAGTCTACACTTCCCCCAGCTCATGATTATGCAGATAATGGGGGGGGAGGGGGAAGTTACTCATTCAAAGAAAATTCTCACACCCAGTTGAGTGGGGAAATTTTGCACAGCTGGTCTAAAGAATGCATTTTTCTAGTACTGTGGGACAATGTTTAGAGAAGCCCTATGAGGATACATCTGTTTCCACTGTTGTCTCTTTATTAGCAGTTTCTTTAATTGCATTCACCTAAAGGATTTTTTGATGCACATTTATCTATGCTATTGTAGTCGGCCAATATATGTTCTGCCTCGTTTTTTCTTTGACTTACAGAGGTATTAGAGCCATAAGGGATTACTTAAACCAGAACACATTTGCACCACAATAGAATGTTTTACTACTGCACCTAATCCCATCTCATGGGAACAGACTTACTTAACGGACTACTTTTCCCTTCACTTCCTCCCTGAAGTTGCTGTGGCATTTCAGAAGCAAGCCCCAATTTTTTTTTCAGCCCCAACCCTGTTAAAGTGTTTTTATGCAACCCTTTGTACAGGCTGTAGAAACAGGCTGCAGTGCACAAGCTGGGCCTTAGTAGTAGAGAGTTATAGGTAGCTACAAGGCATGAAGTTAGCAAGTGGCAGAAGCCTTGTTGTATTGCTGGAATTACAAAAGCCAATATTAACACACCAATTTATCTGACTTTCACACCAACAGAAGAGTTTGATTTAGCCAACTATTTTCTAGGAATAGCCTACATGCAATAATTCATTTCTACACCCTACTGAAGAAAGTAAAATCTCACCCGTGTCATTTTAAAAAAGTCTAAAGATGGACGATTCCACCGTACATCCTCCTCCCGTCTGCGCTTTAGCCGGCTTTTCTTTTCATTCAGGACACAAGGCTGTGAGCGGCATCTCAGCAAGCCCTGACGCCGGCTGAGCTCTGGTGTGGAGGTGGGAGTGCTGTTGGCTGAAGGCAAGAGGTTTCCTGTCTCAGTGATGTGCTCCTGTGAGAGGGAGAGGCGACGCCTAGGGTTAAAGTCACAAGGTCCTCCAGAATTCCAACGGATACTTGAACTTGTGCTTCCCTCACTACTGTCCACAAAGCCGCTGCTCGCAGAGGAAGGTCGGGGTACTGGAGAAGTATTGAAGCTGGTGATAGTGAAGACGTTATTTAAGGACAGAACATTTTGTGGCAAGCTGATACTTGTGCTTCTCTGTAAGTTTGCACTCCCATGACTGTTGCAGCGTTGCAAGGTGGCACTGCCACCGCTGTTGCATCGTCTCTTTGATACAGGAGTCCAAACTTTTGAACTGCCGGGTTTCCATGGTGACCGACAACGAGCCAATTCATCTGGCTCAGAGAGTGACCTACAGTGGCGTTTGGTAGGCGGCGCCAATGGCTGCCCCGAGTTTTCATTAAGGTTTAGTTCACTTATCCATCCTGACACCATAGATGTGCTGGAAGATTCCTGCTGCCATTGCAGACTCACGTTGTTAGCTGTGCCTCTACTGAATGGGCACACTGGGAAAGGGTAAGCTGAATTTTTGGTCGCGTCAGCTTGGATTGGACAACCCCCATTTAAAGCTTTCCAAGGGCTCTCTTCTAAGAAAGAAAAATGTAGGGACGAGAGAAAAAAAAATAGGATACAGTTAGCTTACATTAATAGAGATATTATTTGGGTGAAAACTAACAAATTGGAAGTCCTAGTTCTCTCAGCTGTGAAGGGGACACTTAACTCTGCATCGTCACCAAAACCCAACCCTCTAACATGAGCTAGTTCTGAAGGGAAAGATTACTACTGGAGAACTCCGGTATTTCAAAGTAAAACAAAACAAACAACAAAAAAATAGCATACACAAATTCTCTTGAAGTCTTCCTGAAGTAACATTAGAACTCTGTACCCTAATTCCCAACCTTTGTACTTCAGTATGGCAACTGTGAAAATGTGAATTACTTTTGCACATTAAGAGCTCTGGATAGTTTAGCTCTAAGTCACTTAGGCCAGGTCTACACTACCCCCCTAATTCGAACTAAGGTACGCAACTTCAGCTACGTGAATAACGTAGCTGAAGTTCGAAGTACCTTAGTTCGAACTTACCTTGGTCCACACTCGGCAGGCAGGCTCCCCCGTCGACTCCGCGGTACTCCTCTCGCCGAGCTGGAGTACCGCAGTCGACGGCGAGCACTTCCGGGTTCGATTTATCGCGTCCAGACTAGACGCGATAAGTCGAACCCAGAAGTTCGATCGCTCGCCGCCGAACTACCGGTTAAGTGTAGCCAAGGCCTTACAAAGCATAGTACTCTCAGCACACCATTTTGTACATTCAAAACTTGCACAATAGAATGTGGATATTAATAAGCAGTAGTGGCAAAGTTACTGCTGCTCCAGAGACTACAAAAAATATATTGCCATTAAGACGAGTAACACTGAACCATGATAAGTAGGGCTGAGCTGGTTCAACCAATCTTGTGAAAAATCTAGCAGGTTGGGGGTTTTCTGTTTTTTTACTTAACACCCATTAAAATCTAGCTGATAACTATGACCATTTGAAGTCTATAGGGACCACAGATAATTTTGTTTTCCTCCATTATGGAGATATACTTCATACGTAAAGCCCAATAGTTATAGGTTTGTAATGTTTTTTCCTTCAAGACACTACATTATGGAAATCCAAGGCTTATGTGATGTGTGTTCATTCTTTATAATGTGACTAAAAGCTTTAAAAATAAAGTACTGAGAACTCTTATTTTAGGAACTGTTAGTTAAGATTATTTTTTGGATAGTGAGACATTTGTCCCTCCCACTCATATCCATGACACAGCCTCAGAGCCCTATATTAAAGGCCATCATTTCATTCCCCTTATTTTACACTTTTTAAAAACCTTACACACATTTTACTGTGAATACAGACAGCCCATAGAGTACAACTTCTTATGATCTGAAGTGGCAATGCTGGGTTGAAGAAAAAAAAGTCTGCCAGCCAAGCCTCACTCTTTTGTGAAGCTTTTCTTTGAGAACATTTTGCACATTTTACAGCTGCTCCCCTACATTATAGAGTGAAGCGTAAGAGGAACTACAACAGAGGCCTAGGATTTGCAAATTGAAAGGCATATCATTGTCCAGCAGGCCAGTTAACAGCTCTTCATGCTTGGTTAGAAAATTTGCTAATTTAAACCAATTAGCCAAGTAAATTTCACTCATCCGGAGGGTGTGGTAATAAAGGATGAATTAAAGTTTTGTGACACCCAAAGGTCTTTCCCAACTAAGTTTTTAAAGCCTGTAATTAGAAGATGAAGTTTTTATCTCCATTACAGTAAAAATATATTAGAGCATAGTATTACTTTTAAAGCTGGAGGTAAAAAGTTGTCTAGGTTCACTGATTAATAATATTTTACATATGGATCTTGAAGATGGTCAGGGATGCAACCCATGTTCACAGGTGACCCTAAACCTCTGACTGTCAGAAGTCTGGAAGAGAAAACTGGGTGGATCACTCCCACTTCCCTGTTCAGTATGCTCCCCCTGAAGCTGTGATACTGGCCCATGTTGGGAGATAGGATACTGGGCTAGATAGACCATTGGTTTTACCCAGTATGGCAGTTCTTATATGTCCACTACAGCTAGTGTATATGTGTGTGTATGTATGTATATATAAAGTAACAGGCAAAAGTTGATTTGTTAAAATGTTTTGAGGGTTGTAAACCCAAGTAGCTACAAGATGTATATGCTACATGGCCAGTAGGGTCTTCCAATAGTTTTCACATTTTGTTTACTCAAAAAGACCCTTCCAACTTAAAACTATAACTGTCCAGACAGCTGGCCTATGCAAATATATATTATTAGAATTCCTTTGTCCTCCTCCCTCCAGTCTTTCAGATGAGTAAAGTCATATGTGTTTTGTCTTAATTAAACTATAAGCTCTTCAGAGCAGGAACCATCCTTAACTCAGTGTGAATAAAGCACTTAATACAGTGAGGCCCTGATCCTGTCTGTGACTTCGAGACACTACTGTAATGCAAATTTTGTTAGCATCTAGTTTTAAAGATCTCTTACAAAGGCTGGTTCATGTAAAAAACAGAAATAATTGCTCAAAGTTACTGATGATTTTTACAGTAAATGTGCCGAGACTAGTGTTGTTTGTACGATGCTGTTGTAAGATTGTGTGACTGCTGTTCCCTTGGGAACCTCAAAGAAACAAAGATCAGTATCTCAGGAGACAATCCCACTGAGTAAATGAAATGTACCACCCCTTATAAAGAAATTAAGCTGATGTAAAATGTCAACTTCTCATCATCAATAAATCAAAGATATAATTAAAAAAAAAAACCAACCCATGACATGGCAGCAAAATAGCAGAAACATAGAACAGTAACCAGATATCCCAAGACAAAAACACACACACACACAAACCACCACATACATGCAGGTTTTCCTACATCAAAAGACACTGGACATGGCCTTTGATTGTTTGCATCACGTTAACAGATATTTGAGAGCGAATATATGGTTTATTCTATATTGCAAAGCCCTATTTTTATGAAGGTGTGTAAAGAAGTTAAATGTGTGGTTTTCTGCTCTGAAGAAAGCCTTGACAGGACAAAACGGTGTACATCACAACAGATATTGAACAAAAACATGTAAGAAGGGTTCTACTATGCAAAGCAGATGACAAGTACAAAAATTAACAACCAGTGATTCCCAGTATTGTTCCAAGACCCACATAAGCCAGGAGGCTCTATAAGAGCATGCTCCAATCCCCTCCACCTTATTTCAATAGAAAGGCTGCTTACTATAACAATTACTTCAGTAAAACACTTATGATTTCAGGGGGGGAACAAACAAAAAACTTACCATTGATTTCGAAAGGGAACAAGCTGCCACTTTTGTTCAGCTTCTCAGATGAGTACTGAAATTAATCAGAAAAAAATTTCAACACCATACAACTATACATGGTGTGAAAGGTAGTGAGCACAAGCCTCAATGAAAATTTAAAATATTGTAGTTCCCAGTTTCCCTATATATATATAATAATTAATGGAATGACCATGTTTCTGGTTGGGAGTCTTAAAAAAACCTATACTCTTCAGTCTAAGTTACTGGTAATTAAAAAAAATTAAGTTTTCATTTTTTGGTACAACACTATACAAGAACCCAAAATATCTTTCAAAAAGCTTTCAAGTATTTCCTGGGTTGCAATATGAACCAAATAAAGTAATTCCAAAGTTGAATGAATCTATCCCTAACTCTCTTTCCCTCCCCCCCCCCCCGCAAAAAAATAGAGAGCTTTGGATCCACACCTAAAATTTATTAATCAAAACAGCAGGAAATTGAAATTTAAGAAACTGTTGTCTGAATTTTCATGCTCCTATGGTATTGCAAATTCAGCATACCTGAACAGCTTTACTAAAGCCATTCCAGTCTTAGGTAAACACAAATTTAGACTTAATTAATACATAACTAAGGACTGGATAAACATATTATGGCATTTATAGGAGAAAAATATTTGTTGCCCTTTAAGAGTGTATTTTGCTATGTTTTACTGATCTTTTAGTAGATCTGTGGATTTTGCTCTTTAAAAAGTAGATTTTTCACAATAAATTTTAATGGTTGCCAAAGAATAGCTACAGTTTTACACACAAATCATTGCAAATATTGATCAGATACATCATGTTAACATGGCTTCTAAGCATGGTTACTATATGTGCATTCTATAAAATCCTTAGAAACAAGTCTAGTGCATAGTAAGGAGAGTTTGTACACGCTGCTTGTCTTCACTACTGGGGAGATCGACACTGCTGCTATTGATGCAAAGTGAAGACCTGCTAAATTGATGGCAGAATGCTCAGGTCAACTCCTGTACTCCAGCTCCACGAGAAGAGTAAGGTAAGTCGACAGGAGAGCGTCTCCCATCAATGCAGGGCAGTAAAGACACCTTGGTAAGTCAACCTAAGCTATATCGACTCCAGTTACTCCAGCTACGTGAATAAATGTATTGTAACTTAAGTTGACTTACCCCGGTAGACAAGGCCTCAATGTTTTTCTCCCAGTTATCATAAATTTAGATGGAAAAGTGACTAGATTTGTGTCAGATATGTAGTGTAGCTTGATATCGAGCCTCCTAATAACTAAAAGGCAAATTAATAACCTTACTAGAACTCAGATTGTTGTAGAGTTTTTCTGGGGATGGGGAGGAAGGACAGATTATTTTAAAAACCTGCCCTTTTTTAAAAGCTGTTTTTGGACCTTGTTTTCGGTATTAAGCCAAAAAAAAGATAGTATTGTTCAGAGACTTCCTTCCAGATACAAGTTCAGTTTTAAGTAAACATCCTTGGGCAATGGAGCATTTTTGCTGTTTACCACCAAAGTGCAACTGGCAGCTTTAAAACCTTGAACTTCAAATTCACAACTAAGATACTGAGTAGTGCAAGGACAGTTTGCTTTCTTTAAAAAAATCCTACCCCACTACCTACCACACAAAAATGCCTGCATGTTTTATAGACTTTTGTCTATACTTTTTATCCTATATTTTCTATATCTGCAGATGCATTTGGAACTAGCTACTTAATAAAGCACAAAATCTTTTTCCAGAAACAGCAAGAGTCTTAGGATCCCAGGACTAATTTAGGTTTCAAAGTTTTAATCTTGAGACTGGTAGGGAGCATTATGTCATTCATGTTCATCTTGTAAAACTGAATTTTCCCAGTTACATAGTCTATAATTTTATTAATATGTAATATAATCAATTGTGCTAAACTAAGAGTGAGGTGCTCTGTTTTAGCCACTAATTTGAGATAGGAACTCAGACCATTATTGTTTTGAGGAGCAACTGTGACAATATGTGACAAATTTAAAGAGACTTTTAAATAGGTTATTTAAAGACCTCCCCTCCCCCCTCCAAATTCAGATTACCATAGACATTTCAAGTATACTCATTATCAACTGACAACTGTGTGCTAGAGAAAATTACAGAACCAAGTTTTTGGGAAAACCATAGCTCAGGGGAGGAGGGTGTACATACACACAGTTTATAACATATTATATAATGAAAACCAAGGTTTACTTCATGAGTTTCCATCAGCTAACAATTATACCTTTTTGCTTTAAACTGGAAAAAGTATTATCTGTATGCCTTGCAGTGGCATTAAGTAGAATCCCACTGGAAAACTAGAAACAATTTAAGATCTCATTTGGAGAAAATGTCAACCTGTGTCCCAAACCATCCCTTGAAAAATGTCAAGTCAGTGGAATGTACATTCCATTTTTATAAGTACAGTATTTGCATTTTAGGGAAGATTACAAAATTTTATTTTGTGAAGCACAATGCTATGGAAATTCAAACTATTAAGATATGGAAACAAGACTATTTAAATCTTAGAAAACTGTGCATCTACAACCACAAAAAAGGTAAAGGACGGAGATGTAAGTAAATCTTTAAACAGTCTTTTTTTAAAAATGACTAAGAAATCCAAAAAACCTGAAACAATTGAATTAAGGGCTCAAATTTGGACCATATATTTAGAAGGGCCAAAAAACCAATAGCAAATCACAGACTTTATCCCAAATTTCTTGCATGGGCCATCATTAACTGAATGCCCAGATGATTCAAGAGAGATCTGTTAAGAATATATTTAGTTTTAAAATATTTGCAGTCCAGTTATTTGATCAGCTTCATGTTCTAACCACTTGTAAACCAAGCAATCTTAACCAGCCTATTAGATCTTTAACAGTTATAATGTAATTAAGAGGTGGAAAAAACATCTAATACAAATGTCTGGAGAACATGGTGATCATTCTTACACAGTACAATACAGATCAGAGGCCCTGTCTAATAAGTCACAGCTACCTTCATCAGTTCTCTTTCTTTCTCTCCCCTGCAAACAACTCTTCATAGATGGGGGGGAAATGATTCGACTGATTCTTTACAAGCATTCACCTCGGACACCACAAATCACAGGTAAGTTACTTTTTTGCATAAATTACTTGCATTAGTAATTACTGTAATAGCTACTCATTCTTTGCAGACCAGGGTTCAATAATTCTCTCGAAAAAACAAAAACAAAAAAGCCAACATATCATCTAGGAAAGGGAGAAGTAGTCATTGGGTCCTTTGTGGATGCACTAAGATACCACCATGATAAGACCTTTACTGTATGAACCTTCAAATGCACGTGCACTGTCAATGAACCAAAGGATATTTAATTAAGCCATCTCCCAAATCTAGCCTTCAAAGCTTTCCACTGGTGATTGGGTCCAGGAGACCCTTCCACTGCACATTTTTCTATACATACTAGCCTAAGTAGTGCTGGCTCGTTTAAAAGCCTTCTCCTACCTTGGTTATGAGTCCGAAGATATTCACACTCGCCTGTTAATATCCTAAAACCTGAAGTCATAGGTACTGCTATTCAGCATTTCCTTCCTTACTTCACATACCATAGCTCACTTCCATGAAAAAAAAAAAAAAAAAAGCAGCCCCAACGTGAGAACCATCAGACCAAAAGCAACAGTACCAGCAGACAAAACCTGACGATTCTTACCGGCTTGGATAAACTTATTTTGTATGTCAGCCACATTTGCTCAAGGAAAAAAAGAGTTTACAAAGCTCCCTGGCCAAACCCGCAACCCAAGGGGACTGCAATGTATTTTCAGCACATTCTGTAGATATACTTTCATATCAGTCAGAAATGATCAAGTCTAATTTATAGCTCCAGATATAAAGATCACAGAACCCAGGCAGAGCACGCCTTTCTGACTCACTAGCATGGCCCCTAGTTTTATGGCTTCCTCTTCCTAAAGGACAAAAGGGCGAGACAATAAGACATCAATGCTACTAGTTCCCCTTTTGGCCCTTGAGTCCATGCTCTCTCCTAGCTACTGGAGGAGCTATCTAGTCTTCTCTTGAGTATTCCACTCACCAGTAAATCTACTTCAGGATCCAATTCTTCATACCCAGCACGCCCAAAGTCCTCTTGAAACATGTGATCTGATTTTTAGAAGTGCTGGGCATTGAAAACTATTTCTGTACACAAATCAGTCAGTCTCTGAACCAGAATATTAGTTCCAAAAATTAAGTGGCCAGAATGTCATGACTAATCAAATATCTACCACCTTTTCCAGAATATATGTACGTATACACACACACACACACACACACACTTAAAGCACTTTTTTGCTATTTGTCTAAAGAAAGGTTGATTTTTACTGGTTGGTAACCATTAAAACATGTTGATTTAGAACCAATTATAACATTTTACACTAAATTTGGGTTTTTTTAGTAACCAAGAGGATAAACCACAACTATGCAAATTTATTTAAGCAATCACATAAGCTTAACTTACTTTGTTTTTAAATATAACATTTGAAAATGGTGACTGATACATTAGGACTGTATAGGGAGCCTGGGTAACTATTTATTATATGATGATTAATTTTTCAGTTGTGATTGGTGTCAAACTCTTTTGGATGGAAATTCAATTAAAATGCACAAGAGCAGCATTATAAATTTTTTTAGCTAAATGAAGCATCTTAAAGATGCTGGATACACAAGAAAGTTTAAATGGAACACATTAATAAAGTTAGCTGATTTATTAAAGGAAGTATTACCTGTAGTTAGTGAACTGATTATTTCTTGCCACTATGTTCAAGATTTTTGAATAGATCTCATCTTTTCACACCTAGTTTTATTTGCATTGAAAGGGGAAAAACAAGTCTTCCAGCTTTTTCAAATCCCAATTGGTTTCTTAACTTGGGATGAACTAGTCACTGACCTGAACTAGTTGAATGAACTGAAATCAAGAAGATATTCTTCTGCACTTGCAGAAGAGATAACTGCTGTCACAAGCTAGGTTAGCACTTCAACAATTTCTGGTGATAGGCGCTTAAGCCAGTGATTTCCACCAGTTCAATGGTTTGACTTTCTTTCAAACTTGGCAGCAAATATATACTACTAAATATCTTTTTAATTTAATTAGGGCTGTGAATTAATTGCAGTTAACTCAAATGATTAATGCAAAACAAATTAATTAGATTAAAATTAGTCGAGACTCATCGCCTCTTTAATCGCACTGTTAAACAGTAATAGAATATCAATTTATTATAAATATTTTTGGAGCTTTTTCTACATTTTCAAATATATGTACTTCAAATACAAAGGGTACAGTGCTCACTTTATTATTTTTTATTACAAATATTTGCACTGTAAAAAATAGTATTTTTCAATTCACCTCAATTATACTATAGTGGAATCTCTATCGTGAAAGTGCAATTTACAAATGTAGATTTTTTTTTAACCTAACTGCACTCAGAAATAAAACAATGTAAAACTTTAGAGCCTACAAGTCAACTAAGTCCTACTTCTTGTTCAGTCAATCGCTAAGACAAACCAGTTTCTTTACATCTACATGAGCTAATGCTGCCCGCTTCTTATTTACAATGTGACCTTACAGAAAAACAAGTCAAACAAACAAAGCACCTTAAAAAAAAGTCATCTGAACATTTCTAAGGATAAAGTTGCTTGGAGGAATCAGACAACGACCAATCTCCATAGAGTAGAGAAGTATCAGGTGGAAGGGAGACCTGAGAAGGTGGAAATGGGTCAAATGTTTAATCTTTTCAGTGTACATCTTGGCCAGTGCTGTTCACTGGAATTTCTAGTGACACGGGCAGAGGGTCAAGATACCACCTGCAGATTAGTCTCTTGTCTATTAAAATCTAGTAGGGATACAATGGGCCCATAATGAATGAAGCTGATCAGCACCTTTTTCAGATACAGTAAAACATACTAAGAGCAACCACTCATGGGAGTTAGCAGAAGTGGTTGCTTATAAGTAGGGCGACCATATTTCCCTATGCTTAATATGGGACACTTGGTAAAATTACTCCTATTCAAGCGAGTTCAACTGCAATCAATCAGAACTATGCAGTACAAATAATTCAAATTAATATCATGTTGACTGAGCCCGTCAAAAAGAAATACTGCATAGTTGGATTCTTTATTTACCTTCTTATCTTTAAGGATTTAGGGTTCACACGGGCAGGGGTGACACACCCCCCTATCCTCACGCGAAAAAGTGACACACACTCCTGTACACCTCTCTCACATGGGAGGTGGGGGGGTGACCAACTGACCCAACCCTCCCTGCCCAGTAGTCTCCACCCTCCATGCCTAGCTGGGCCCGCCTCTCCTGGTACCGCATCTTCCTGACTCTATAAGTGGGATGCATGCGGGGTCACATGTCCCCCCCTCCCCGATTTCTGCCAGGGTTCCCTGTGTGGCTGGAAGCAGCTTGTTTCTGTTTCATCACCTGCAAGGTGTAAGCTGATTTACAAAACCAAGTTTTGCTTACGGGAACCATCAAGATGTTTAAGTGCCAAAACCGAATAGCCACAATTACTGTAACCCTGGTTCATCCTCCCCATTTCCCCTAGTTCAAACTTGTTAAATGATCCCTCTATACAGAGCTCCACCATTACCTAATATACAAGGCTTGTGAACGTTGCTAGATGCATAGCACTGTCATCCACAGACCAGATACAGCCCTTGAAGCAGAGTATATGCTTCTCTACTCAACCCCTACAAGTGTATCCCTACTCCTAAATCTTCAGTGAGTACACCAGTAAGAGTGAAAAGCTAGCTCAGTCTTCAAACTCATGCAACCCTTAGTATTTCTGATGAAGTTGTCCATGGCAGTCACCCTCTAGAATTTATTTCTCACAGAGCAAAGCACCATCAAATGATAGCTACTAGCCAAGGAGTCAAACCAATGTGCTAAAAATGAAAGTGTAGCACAGCGGTGGGCAAACTGGGGACAAGGAGCAGGGGCGGTTGGTTGGGGTGGAGATTCTGGGGGGACGGGATAGGTGTGGGAATCCCAGGGGGCCTGTAAGGGGGTGTGGGTGTGGATAGGAGTCAGGGCAGGCAGGGGACAGGGG